AATGCTCGTTGACAGTGCAAGACGTCCTCTCCAGTAGCTGAAAGGACTCCATGAGGCGATTCTATCAGGCCAAATTGGCATGTTTCACCTCCTGGGCCTAACAGCAAGGTCTTGCCCTTGAAGGTGTGGGCATCCTCATGCTCTGACTATTTCCTCTATCTGAAAACCTCAGGACTCACACTCAGCTCTGTCAGAGTGCATACAGATGCCATTAGTGCTCTCCATCCTCCGGTGGCAGGAAATTTGACTTTTACCCACCCAATTCTGGAAGGGCCTTTTCTGTAAATATCCGCCCATTCAGCCTATCACTTCCCAATGGGACCTCAACCTAGTCCTTACCTCTTTTTAATGAACTCTTCCTTTGAACCACTGTTATCCTGCTCCATCTCTCTTCTCTTTCTGAATGGTGTTCCTTCTTGCCATTACCTTAGTGGGGGGTGGGGAGGGGTTGGTGAACTGGGAGCCATTATGGCAAACCCTCCTCCCCCTTTCATCCCCTCTTATGTAGACAAGTAAGGGTGCCTATATTTTCATAACTGTTGACCATTTCTACTTTGAACTCTGCAAATAAGAAACCATGTATTGAATATTTAGTTTTCAGTATTGGTTATTCGACACCAAGTTCTGGTTTTGGAAGAACCTCAAAAAGTGAGAAGTTATTCTTAGTATTCAAGCAGAATAAAAACCATCTTTTCCCCTGAAGAAGTGAAAGCTTCCCCAGGAAGGCCAAGCCTCACAATTTCAGAAATACTATTCTAGGGACCTCAATTAGGTTCCTGCATGGGGATCTAGTGTAAATGAGCTCAGTGGTTCCATTGTGGTACGCATTATATGAACCACACTCCATAGTTTAACACTGTTCAGTGTGGCACTTCGTGCGATTGTTCCCAGAACTACAATATAAAGATGGACAGAGTTGTGAGTGGGAGAATTTGGAACAGTGTCCATCTGGCTCTGCAAGTTTTCCATTTTCCTGACTATCAAAACAATAAAGTTAGATGTGTTAAGGAGACATTTATTACTAGTAAATTTCATATTAACGTCAAGGTAATTACCCGAAGGTAATTTACCTTTAGGAGGTAAAATCCTCAAACAGACCATAAAATACGATTTTTTTTTTAAATACTACTTGTCTTTGTTTCAAGGATTCCTTATTCCAGATGTTGTTCTTGCATTTAAAAACTCCTTAAAGCACCCACATCATAACTGTATGATACAAGCTTATCTCCTGTTTTTAACATGCATGAAGCGGTTTTATCTTTTGTGACGTTAATCTTCCAAGAGCTAATTCTGATCATATTTCAAATGCAAGAATGTTTCTTTTTTTAATGAAAATGATTGGAGGGTTTTGGGTTGGTGAGAACAGAATATTAATCAAACAAAGCCTACATGGAAACTGTTGTCTATCCTGAGGCTGAATAAATACCACTTCATGGATATTTGAGCAGTGAACAGTGTCCCGGAATTGGCTGGATTCATGCTCTGAGGCTGGATAGCAACCTCAAAATGTTCTGCTCATTGGAATGGCTCTGATACCACTCCTTCTCGTTCCCTGAAAATTGCTTTCTCCAAATCCTTTGCTTATGTTGAAATTCGTCAGGAGATTGGTCAGAAGGAGTATGTTCTGTTTCTTCACCTACCATGATGTGGAAGATCATCCTTCATAGAACAGAACGTAACTATTTATAGAGTAAGTCACTAAACTCTAACAGTTGTTAACAAAACCTTGTGGTCAGTGGTCAAAGGCTGCTGGCCAATTTAAAAGAAATGTCATGGACACTGCCTGACATAGGTCAGTGGTCAGGAGACCATCAATCAATGAGATTTGTGCAATCTGTGTCAGCCAGGTCTAAAGCAAAGCTGAAATGAATAGAAGACATGTAAGAGCCTTAAGTGACAGCAGAGTTGCTGCAATATAGTCTTCTTAACCATCTTTCAAGAAAAGGGTGAAAACTGTCAAGAGGTGGCTTTGTTGCTAATGGTCTAATGATTACTTTTTGGAGGGAAACTCCCTCCAGCAAGGAGGTGTTAACAATCTTAGCTGAGGAAAGACTCAATACTCCTTCATTTGCATTTACAAAGGGTGGGGGCAAAGCTCCAGCTTGCATGTCAGATCTAACCCAAGTCCAGTTTGTATGCCTAGCTTCTTTAAGCTCTGGTCTTTGTGGTATGGATTTAGGAGTGTGACTTTGGAGTGTGGATAAGATGAAGTTTATGCCAGCGCGTCTCCTTTTTGGTGTGTTCTTACTGCTATTCTGGACTCCCCGTCACCATGTATAATAGTAGAGTTCCATGTTACTTGCAACAAAAGCCTTGCTCATGAATTGTAATTTTGGTGCCATTGTTAAAAGATGAGTTACACAAGCTTTTTGATCAGCTTGCATGGAAATACTCTGTAAAGGATGCATAGACTGTTAATGCAAAGAGAGTTCCATCCTTTGATTTTCTCTGTCAACTTGTGTTATTGTTTGATAAATAGAAAAATGGGGGGGAAAGTTGAATGTCAAAGTATACTAAAAAAGCACTAATTCAAAACATTTCTTCTTCTGTGGAAGAAATTTATTGCTTTGTGTTTGTCTTGATTTTTTTTTAATACTTAAACATAACCTTCAAGCACATGAAATGCTATTGTACAGCAGAGTTCAGAGGTAGCAATTTTTGTTTTTAAATACCTTTTTTCCTAGTCAGAGACATGAAAAGGAATACTCTGACAATTTGATATTGTCTGTAATTTTGATGCATACTATAATAGAATCCGGTAATGCCACTGATGTCAGTAGCCCTGTTGGCTTCAATGAGACTGCTGATGTGAATGAAGATTACTTCTGTGAATGAGTGTTTGATGGACTGTGTTCACCGCTCCAAGGAAAAAATTATGGAAAAGAAATCTCTAGTCCTGGAAAGAATCTGATGAGGTTTTTCAGTGTATCGGCTTGGTTAAACAAAAAAGCAGGCCAGAAAGAGAAAACTGCCTTTCTAGTTATTTAAGGACTTCTTGGACCCACATTATCAGATTCCTCATCTGCAAATGATCATGATGGATAGCTGAGGCCCAGAGCAGCTAGATAATGTCTCCTTGAGCTACAAGCCTGTTCTGCACAGACTGCTGCATGCTTCTTTTTCTTGGTATTTACAATGAATAGGGGAAGGCCCGTTTTTGTTCTGTCTTTTTCTTCTCTGAGATAGAGGAATCCTGAGCTCTTCATCAGTTACGTGACTGGGAAATTTGAGACTGCTGAATACCTGCATGAAAATATAATTTTTGAAATGGTTGAAATCCTGCAAAGCGTCCAGGTGACATTTTGACTTGTGCCTATCACAGCAGTCATTTAAAGGGAGTTGAATTGGGGAAGCATTGTTTCTATTTCCTGCTGGCATGGCACCTTCTACTCTCCTACCAAGCTGATGTGTTAACATAGTTAGGCCTAATGTGTTATACAGAGAGGTCTGAGTATGCATTCATCCCACCTTCTACTTTGTGTCATGAACTGTTTTCAGAAATTGCACTACCAGAAACTGTGTGTTTTTTAATCTGTCACATAAACAGTATATTGCTTCAGTTTTAAGGCAGTCTGTACCTCTCTCCATACGCATGCAGTAACTCTCACTGATCCTTTAGAATGGAACCAACTACAATATATGTTCAGTTCAGTAGATGCTATCACAAGCCTGAAAGTGAGAGTGGAGAAGGTTGGAAAAGTGTCACATGTTCTATTTTATAGTAGTAAACCCATCTTATATTGATATGTACTAATTCCAGACTGTTCCACTCAGAGAAAGAATGTAACAGCTGCACCATTACTGCAAATATATAAAAACATGTCTTTCAGTACAAATTAATGCTAGAAAGACTATTGTTTAAAGAAAGCTGTTCCATATTGCCCTGCCACTGTAACTCAAGCGTAACCTGAAGGCACTCCTAACATATGGTCATGAAAAGGTAGCTCAGTTTCCACACCCATTGGCTTCTCTGCGTAGAGTTGTGAAGAATGCTATTTGTACTGGCAGAATTGTGATGAGAACACCTGTTCACTAGAAACTGGACTGCAGCCATCAACTCATTTCACACAGAACAGCAAGCAGCCATCAGATGGTCATGACTGTAAGTTGTTGTTGACATAGACCAGATTTAAATCAATGACTTATTACCAATCCCATGAAATGCTTAGTCCCATTAAGAAGTGTTATCTTTAACAATCTGGTTTACAGTAAATAGCAAGACACAGAAGGCATTGAGAGTTCTTCCTTGTTAGTTTGTTTTCATAATTGTAAGTATTTGTTTAAAATACAAACATTGACTTTGTGGTCTCAGTTCAGTCCCTAGGGGCCAAGACTCCACATTACAAAAAGCACTAGCACATTTGGCAGTTTTAGCAGAGAGGTAAAAGAATGAATGGACTTGGATTCTGAACTACTTTCTCACCATAATGTATGATCTAGTACCTCCCGGTTATGTTTCAGGTGTGTTGGTGGGGCAATAGGTGGCAATTTCCTCTTCCTGCTCTGGTTCAGCAAACCACTTAAGCACGTATTTAAAGTTAATCCCATGCTTAGGAGTTTTGTTAAAAAGAGACAGTTAGTTAATTAACACATGCGCAAGTGCTTTTCTGCTGAATTGGAGTCCCTGCAATGCTGTCATTCAAGTAGCCTTCGTGATCAGTAAACTGTACTTTAATTTTTTTTAAATGCTCCTGTTCCTCATAAAACTGAAATGTAGGAATTATGATGCTAAGCCAAAATCTTCACGCAACTTCTAAATGAGAATAAATGTCACTATAACCTGACCTACAAACACACAGTCATCTGTGTATTCAGTAATGGGACTAACGAAGGGAAACTTTTAGTGTGCAGAGGCGACTCTACAAAGGAATAAAACTTTTGCAATTAGTGATTTAGTGTTTTATGCACAAAATGCTGTGTAAGAAGATATTGATAGCGACATATCAGTAAATGAAGTTAGAATGATAATTTTAAAAAACTGTTTTCTTCTCTTTGTGCAGGGACCTGAATTGATGAATAAATATGTTGGTGAATCTGAACGAGCAGTGAGAGAGGTAAGAAGATGCTAGTTGCAAGTCAGGGCCCATTGCATGTTGTGCTGGATCTATGCTCATTTTTCAATCTCTCCTATGTTAATAATACATTGTCTGGTTAACCTTAAGCTTTCAAAAAAAAACCTAACCAAACCAAAAAACCCACTCTCCCTTTGACCAGGGATTTTGAGGAGAAATAAAATTTTTTTGATTTTGGGTTTTTTGTTTGCTTTCTTTTGTGTTTTTATTTGCTTTTTGCTTTTAGAAAGTTAGTGGGGTGTGTCAAAATCAGGCGTACAGTGAAAGTTGCTATTGAAGCTACATTATATAGTATGATATAACTTAGCTCCAAAGTAAGTCCACTTTTAAAAAACGGCTACAAGATGTTATTCTTGGCCCGTTAGCTTTTGGAGTTAGAATAGAGTATTTGAATGCATGACTTTTGTCCAGCAATTCCCCCACACCCCAGTAAACTATTTTATTGTTGTTTCTCTAGATCTTCCGGAAAGCCAGAGCTGTGTCACCTTCCATTCTTTTCTTTGATGAAATAGATGCCTTGGCAGTTGAAAGAGGGGGGTAAGGAATACTTTTACAAAAATACTCAACGTTAATTTCTGTTCTGATAAGTGACTTTAGAAATGGATTTGTTGAGATCCCAGGTTTGTCTTTCTATAATTCCATATCATATGTGTACCCTTTTCAAGTAAAAGGAGTTCTTTCATCACTGCCAGTCCAGCATACTCAACCTGGCATCTGAAGGCAAGATGGTGGTTTCTTCTTTTCTCACATCATTACCAGTAATAAAGATTCTACAGACCAACTCCATATCCTTCAGTTCCCTTCAATGGCAGGGATCTGGACTACCTGCTGTTTAGTAACAGGTCTTGTCCATTGCTAATCTCTGGGTTCCATTAATTGCACTAAACCAAAGAGAGTTCAGAAGTTTGTCCTGCTAAAGAAGGGTAGAAGTTTTTAGTTGGTGTAATTTACTTCCTTATTTCAGTCATAAGTCTGAATTTAAGCAGCAGAGTAATTCCATTGAAATCCAGTTGAGATGCTTTGCTGGATTGGGGCCTTGATGGAATGATTTCGAAGCATCTATGTCCTTAAAATGTAAAGTGAAAAAATCCTGTGTAGCTGAGCAATAATGCTAACAATCTTTTCATAACATCTTGCACTAAACCAAAGAGAGTTCAGAAGTTTGTCCTGCTAAAGAAGGGTAGAAGTTTTCAGTTGGTGTAATTTACTTCCTTATTTCAGTAGAAATAGTATATTTTTTTCAAATGTACCTACTTCCTCTTATAACTTAAGCTTGTGCAATTAGATTTGCTATGGTTTAAATTTTTTAAAACAATTTCTTCTAATTAGTAGCCTGTGTGGTACTTGTTGCATGTTACCTTCTCCTTATTCATACAAATCCAATCAACTTACTGGGAGGTACTTTTATTATGGCCATTCTAGCCCCAAGTGTTGCCAATAAGGCCTAGTTTACACTTAAAACTTTTACCAGCACAGCAATGTTGGGCAGGAGTGTGTGTGCGGGGGGAAAAACACCCACCTCTAGTGACATTAGTATCGACAAAGCCCCCAGAGTAGATGCAGCCATGCTGACAGAAGAGGGTTTCTGTCAGCATAGGTAACATTGTTCAGGGAGGTAGTGTTCCTACACCTGCAGAAAAACTCCTTTCTGTTAGCATAAGCTGTATCTACTCAATGGACTCTGCCAGCATAGCTATACTGGCATAGGCTCTCTAGGTAGACATAACCTAATAGTTTGACTTCGATGAGAGAAGTAGCAGGCTCTGTATCCATACCAGTTTCTGTAGAGGATACCAGCAAAATGGGAAGACAGGGATAAAAGATGTCAGTGGGACTCTTCATCCGTTTCAATACATTGTTTAGTGTGTGGTGGTAACTTGTGTTGAATAGAGCTATATTCTAAAATCATTTACAAATAAATCCTTATTTTCTCCTGAAATTTCAAAAGTTGGCAGATGGTACAAGGCTTCCCCATCAGTCTCCCTCTCAATATATAATTTCTGCAACTAGAAAATTTCTAGAAATGTTAACAGTACCCTAGTAAATCATTAGAATCACCAGCCTTCTTATCACAATAGATGTAGCAAAAAATGTGTCTTGGAAGAAAGCCAAAATAACAAATCTACCCATTATAGAATTGTTAATGTATTTAATGTTTAGAAAATCTACTTCAGCAAGAAGAAACTTTTTTTTGAAGAATAAAGCACAGTAATTTTTTAACCAGCCTTTTCAGTCTACGCCCTGAGGCTCTGAGGTTTTCTGGATTCTTTTAGGGGGTAAATAACCCAACTTCTCTTACCTGCAGGGGAAAAAATCGCCCTGGGACAACTTGCTGAAATATGTGGTATGACCTGCTGTAGTCATGTTATATTGGAGACATCTGTTTTTGGAGCTTTAAAAAAAACAGGGTGGGACACACAAATATTTCATTGTCAAATCTGAAGCAGATGGGAGGTAAAATATGTAGCAGAGTTCTCATAAAATTCATCTGAAATTAAACAATGTAGGAAACCAGACAAGGCACTTATTAGAAATAGCCTGTTTTTACAGGCTGATTTTGCACAGTAGGAATTTGCAAATGCATTGGAGATGCTAACGATTTGCAGCCTCTGGAGATCCATTTCCTGTACTATTACTAACCATACTGAAGGAAACACCTGTTTATGTTGTCCCCCTCTTCTCTCAGTGAGTTGAATTGTTTTTCTCTATCTCGGCAGTACAAAGTACTATGATACAAATTTTGTAAGGATTTTTTCCCTCTTTTTAAATTCTGTTTACAAATTGTCTTATTTGTTGACACCATTTGACCAGAAAATTAGCCAGATCCAAGGAGCTTTGAGGCAGGTAACCTCTTCTGGTTCTGGGAGACATCTCTGTGGCAGAAGTATATCTCCATAAACAGACATAGGGAATCATAAACTGTTAAGGTAGTTTTTTGAATAGTTAAAAATAGTATCCACAAATGGAATAATACTTAAGTTTTTCTAACTAATCCTCACAATACAACTAATTAGTGTTCTCCCCAATTTATAGATGAGAAAATTCAGGCAGAACGACTGACGTGACTAAGGCCCAAAAGCAAGAAGCACTATTAGAACCGGGATTAAAATTTAGAAGTTCCTGCCTTCTATCCCTTTGTTGAGACTACTAGACAATGCCTCACATAAATATGATTGCCCAAATTAGGATACATAGTACTGCAGTGTTACTGCATCTCAGTGATTTGCACATTGTGTATTAAATTATGGGATTCTGGATTAGCAATCTAGCATTCGCTCCCGACTGTGGTTCTTGGTAATTGTTTAATATTACAGCAGAGTGCTGTAGAATGCTCCTTATTAAGACTGCATTACCTTTACAAAATATACTGAAGGATTGAGATTGAGTTTTAAATATATATCCATAGACACATATGAAGGGGAGGAGAAATCTATAAATACGTGAAGGGTGTAAACAACAAGGCTGGGGAGGAATTACTGAGGACATTACAAGGGGTTATGAATAGAATAATGCAATTAAATTAAGAAAGGGAAAACTTCTATTGAAAAACATTTTTTTGACAGTGAGATCTCGTATGCTGTAGAACAGTCACATGGGAAAGTAGTGGCAGGTTATTGCTTGGCACATATTAAACAAAACTGGACAAACCACAAATTTATGTACAACAAGAGCACTGGCAGAGAGAAGGACTAGATGACATAATAGATGTTTTCCATCATTCCATGGTTCTGACTAACACTAGGTTCCATTAGCTAGTTATGTTTTTTTCTAGCGTCTGTAAAATGGTGTTATGACTGTTTGCAGAAAAGACTACGACGTTAAGGTCAGAAACACATTACTGGTCCAGATACAACAGTGAGCAAGGAATGTTTGGTTCCAAGTAATCCTTTCCCCTTTCAAAGCTTAAAACTCTTTAACAAAGTGCATAGCTGCAGAGAATTATGGGTACTTGTTATTCCTTGGTATCCGGACTATGTAAAACCTAATTCTTCTGGCCATTAGAGGTTGCCAACAGGAAATGGCTTGGTAATCAGACTTGAAAGTGATGAATGAACATAGCTCTGTGTAAATGCAGCACAGACACTCTGTTTGCTGAATTTAAGAAATCTGTGTTCTTTGGAAATGGATTATTGTTTATATGTGTAAATTTTTAGGATTTTTGGGCAATAGACTTATTTGTTCCTTTTCCTGCTTTTCTGAAGCAAGAAAACTTTTTCCCCTTGGCTGCAAAATCTTGTAACATAAGACATAAAGCATTGTAGGCTGGAGTGAAAGACACTGTTAAATTCCTTTTTTTTAAAAAAAAAAGATCAATGCTGTGCATTATAAAATCAAAGGCTAAGATAGTTATTAGGCTAGCAGGTTGATTTGGGCAGGGGCGGGGTGATGAGGAGAAGGAGACCTCAGCACTTCCTAAATAGCAGCCAACCCAAGGAGTAATATAGCAATGATATTTGGGGGACATGTTTTTTCCCCCCTCTCCTCTGTGCATAGACTACATTAAAATGACTAAACCACGGTGGGAAGATAAATCTATAAATTTATAAGCCACAGTTTTCAAACCTATAGATTTCAATGGGAGCTTGGGTTGCTCAGCGTCTATAAAACCATGCACTCTATTGAAATGCCAAAATATGGGTTTAGAATCCTAAATTTAGGCGTCCAGGTTTGAAATTTTTTGTCCTGGAGGAATAGAATCTTCTGTTTCCAGTGTGTGGCATCTCTGGTTTTAATAACAAGAGCTGTGTAAATCTTCTGTCTTTTAAACCAAAATTGGCTGTCTTTCTGAAAGACCATGCTTTAGCACAAACACAAATTATTGGGCTTGCAGAAGTCCCTGGGTGAAATCTATGGCCTGTATTATGCAAGAGGTCAGCTCAAAATGCTAACTTCTGGCCTTAAAATGTGTGAGCTGGATGTGTGCAGGGCAAAGTGCCCTAAAATAGGTCAAAGGTTCCCAGCAGAGAAGTCTTCCTGTGTAGGGTGAATGTCCACTAGCACACAGTTGCTGGAGATGGCACAGACCCCCTCATCTGCCCCCATGTCCCATTACTGGTGTAAAAGGATGGGAGGTAGCCTGGTAGTGGAGGGGAGAGGAGGTGTGGAAGAGCAGAGCTCAACTACACTTGAACCTCTGCTGTTGTAAGGGATGTTCTGCCAGCAGCGTAAGTTGCAGCAGGACCTCTCTTGCTTTAACTTACCCTGGGAGTGGGTAGCCCTGAATCGGGAGAACCTCAACTGATTCACTGCCACTGCCATTCTGCAGCACATCTGAGCTGCATTCTGATGCTGTGGAAAATCAGGCCCTTTGAATTTCTGGCTGTTAGCTTCAATTTAGAAAGAGTGGCTGGAGAAATAGGTTGGCTCCTCTGAACAAGATTTCTAGCAGAACGAAGGTTCCAGGCCTAATGAGGATTTGTAAAGGGCTAAAGTGTTTTTTAAAATAACTTCAGAAAACAGGGCACGAGTTTACTTTGGAATAGCAATATTTACAAGCTGCACCTCTGTGTACTCCGTAAAGTTAACTGCTAGAGTAT